CGGCCGCCCCTCCCCCGCAGTGCGTGTTAGCCTCCTCTACCTCCGCAACCCCGGCCGCCGAGCCCCCCCCTCCGCCAGCCCCGGACATGACTTTCAAGAAGGAGCCGGCGGCGTCAGCCGCGGCCTTCCCCTCGCAGAGGACCTCCTGGGGATTCTTGCAGTCCTTGGTTAGCATCAAACAAGAGAAGCCAACAGATCCCGAGGAGCCGCATTCCCACCACCACCATCACCACCACCACTTTGGAGGGCTGTTCGCTGGGGCCGACGAGCGATCCCCGGGCCTAGGAGGCGGGGACGGGGGGAGCCACGGCGTCATCCAGGACCTCAGCATTCTCCACCAGCATGCCCAGCAGCAACCAGCCCAGCACCACCGCGACGTGCTGCTCAGCAGCAGCAGGACTGATGACCACCGTGGCAACGAGGAGCCAAAGCAGGACACTAATGTCAAAAAGGCAAAGAGGCCAAAGCCAGAATCTCAGGGAATCAAAGCCAAGAGGAAGCCAAGTGCATCTTCCAAACCTCCTTTGGTTGGAGATGGAGAAGCTGCCATCCTCTCCCCAAGTCAGAAACCTCATATCTGTGATCACTGCAGTGCTGCTTTCCGAAGCTCCTATCACCTGCGGAGACATGTCCTCATTCACACGGGAGAAAGGCCTTTTCAGTGCAGCCAGTGCAGCATGGGCTTCATTCAGAAATACCTACTGCAGAGACACGAGAAAATCCATAGTCGAGAGAAGCCATTTGGATGTGACCAGTGCAGCATGAAGTTTATTCAGAAGTACCATATGGAGAGACACAAGAGGACACATAGTGGAGAAAAGCCATACAAATGTGACACTTGCCAACAGTATTTTTCCAGGACTGATCGATTGTTGAAGCACAGGCGCACGTGTGGTGAAGCCTTAGCTAAAGGAGCAGCTAGTGCAGAGCCTGGGTCATCAAACCATAGCAATATGGGTAATCTGGCTGTGTTGTCTCAGGGAAGTACAAGTTCATCAAGGAGGAAAACAAAGTCAAAAGGCGTAGCTATTGAAAATAAGGAACATAAGACTGGTAAAGCAAATGAATCACAAATTCCCAACAGTATAAACATGCAGAGTTACTCCGTAGAGATGCCTACTGTGTCTTCCAGTGGAGGCATACTTGGCGCTGGTCTCGATGAATTGCAGAAAAGGGTGCCAAAAGTGATCTTCAAAAAAGGAAGCAGAAAGAATACAGACAAAAACTACCTTAATTTTGTGTCACCGTTACCAGACATTGTTGGACAGAAATCCTTGTCTGGAAAACCCAGTGGTTCCCTTGGCCTGGTATCAAATAACAGTGTGGAGACCATTAGTCTTCTCCAAAGCGCAAGTGGCAAACAAAGTCAAATAAGTAGTAATTATGATGATGCCATGCAATTTTCAAAGAAAAGAAGATATTTGCCAACTGCCAGCAGCAACAGTGCCTTTTCTATAAATGTAGGACACATGGTCTCCCAGCAGTCAGTCATTCAGTCTGCAGGTGTCAGTGTTTTGGACAACGAGGCGCCATTGTCGCTTATTGACTCTTCAGCTCTAAATGCTGAAATTAAGTCTTGTCACGACAAGTCTGGAATTCCTGATGAGGTTTTACAAAGTATTTTGGATCAATACTCCAACAAATCAGAAAGCCAGAAGGAGGATCCTTTCAACATAACGGAGCCGCGGGTGGATTTACACACCTCAGGAGAACACTCAGAATTGGTTCAAGAGGAAAATTTGAGCCCAGGCACCCAGACACCTTCAAATGATAAAACAAGCATGTTGCAAGAATACTCCAAATACCTCCAGCAGGCTTTTGAAAAATCCAATAATGCAGGTTTTACTCTTGCACCCAGTTTCCAGTTTGTCAGTCTCTCGTCACCTCTCCATAACCACACTTTATTTCCAGAAAAACAAATATACACTACATCTCCTTTGGAGTGTGGTTTCGGCCAATCTGTTACCTCAGTGTTGCCATCTTCATTGCCAAAGCCTCCTTTTGGGATGTTGTTTGGATCTCAGCCAGGTCTTTATTTATCTGCTTTGGATGCAACACATCAGCAGTTGACACCTTCCCAGGAGCTAGATGACCTGATAGATTCTCAGAAGAACCTAGAGACTTCATCAGCCTTCCAGTCCTCATCTCAGAAATTGACTAGCCAGAAGGAACAACAGAAAAACTTGGAGTCCTCAACAAGCTTTCAGATTCCGTCTCAGGAGTTAGCTAGCCAGTTAGATCCTCAGAAAGACATAGAGCCTAGAACAACGTACCAGATCGAGAACTTTGCACAAGCATTTGGTTCTCAGTTTAAGTCGGGCAGCAGGGTGCCAATGACCTTTATCACTAACTCTAATGGAGAAGTGGACCATAGAGTAAGGACTTCAGTATCAGATTTCTCAGGGTATACAAATATGATGTCTGATGTAAGTGAGCCATGTAGTACAAGAGTAAAGACACCCACCAGCCAGAGTTACAGGTAAGGTCCCCAAAGTGACCAGGCTGGGGGTCTTCTAATGTAATTTTGTTTTATTTTGAGAACACTGCCATTGGAATGTTTCTACACGATCCTATTAAGAATAATGTAATGCCCTTTCAATGCAACTTTTCATATTTAGTTTATTTTGTTAGCGTGATTTTAGCTGTTTGTATTATGATTTTTTAATCAAAATCAATAGATTAAAAATAGTTTGACATTCAAAGTGACAATGTTTAGCAATCAAATTTACATGTATAGATTGTCAGGGATTAGCCCAAAAGTTTTAAATGCAAAAAAAAGGAAAAAAAAAAAACCTTTAAAAAAACCTAGAAAAAAACAAAACGAAAAATTTAAAAAAAACTTTGTTGCTAGGATTAAGGTTATTCTAATTGCTTTACTCTCAGGAAAGTGTAATAACGCATGGGAATTCTGTACGTTATCACTGTAATGGAATATCCAATTTACAGATAGTATGATATACATTTCATCATTTAAGGGATCGAGAACATTTCAAATTGCTCCATCTGGACTGATAAGATACACATTTCATCTTTTTTAAGTAAGGGATCGAAAACATTTCAAATTGCTGTCTCCGTCTGGGCTGATCCAGAATTCTGAGGTGTTGGCTACCTATATTTTGTTGCAGCTTTTTAATGCACTCTGAACTTCCAGACAACATTCATTCCAGCCTGGTAGAACACATATTCTTGGATCTTTGATCAGAGCCTGGAATGATAGCTTGACTATACGAAGGAGGGGGGGGGGGGGCACTCACTCTCCCCTAATCTGAGCTGTAGCAAGGCTGTAATTCCATTAAGAGATTCTACTGATTTATAGGACAGTGTTGAAGCCCAAGTGGTTGTTGGTTGTTGGTTCCAGTATTAGAACCCAAGTTGGCATTACATAATTCATTGCAATTTGGGGAACCTATTATTTATTATACATGGCCTAAAACATTGTTACTCTGATCTGTCCTATCACTTACACTTCTCCTGTGTGGGGTTTTTGTTTTTATTTTCTTAGAGTTCTAGGCCTTCCTTGTTCCCTCTTTTCTCTATCTTGATAGTTTAAACTTTACAGTGATTCACATGCTAATGATTCATTATGCATTTTATATGCCACGAGAGGCACCCACATACTGAGCAGTAGGGCAAACAACCCTCCTCCCCCTTTTTTTAAGAAATCCCTTAAACATTTTCATGTATAATAAAACTCCTATTCAAAGCTATGAACATTAATAAGGTTGTAATCCCGACTGGTGAAATTGCTGGTAAGAGTGTGTCCATGTTGATGATGACATCAGAACCTCTCTGAAACTGCAGCCTTTAATGTACATTTTTAAAGGGTACATTTTGTCAGTATTGTACGTGGGTCTTGTAAAGTCATCAAAACTTGCTATGAACGCTAATGGCCATTTGAAGCTACTGAAAGGCGGTGGCTCTGCTCTAAACCACTTTTTAGCAATTGTATTTTTTTCCTGATTATATTTTTTAATGTACTTTGGTGTTTATGCTGATGAGTTTTTTTATGTACTTTTGGTGATGTTTCAGTCTTATGTACTTTTCTGACGTCAGAAAAGTACCACTGGTTGTTTGCAGTCTTATTGTGTAATCAGCCTACCACAGGCGTCCATGTATAATAAAGTAATTAATATTGTGCAAGTGTAAAACACTTCTGTTATGAAAGCAGTGTTTGGAAAGATAAGAAATTATTTTAAAAAATGGTTACAAAATACTAGTTAATTTCCTTTCCCCACTCTTTCACCCGTGAGTCTTCTTTATCAGCCGAAGAGTCACCTGTTTGTCAATGCAAGGTTTTTAGAAAAATGTATTTAATCTTAAATTCACTCAGTACTAAAAAGTTTGTATTTCTTATTTTGGTAAGTGCGGTAAGTTCTATTGGGTACAGAATCCCAGCTGTAATCAAAGGATAGAGAGGACTTTTACCACTGTATCTCTTAAGCTGTATGATTTTTCTCCAGTTTTTTTGTTTTATACAGGTTTTGAATTTCTTTTAACTTTTATTGTGTGTACTGAATACTGCTTATGTATTATTCTGATTGTTTGCTCTAGTTTACTACCAATAAAAGTCCTGTTAATCACAAAATTGAAGAAAGGAGATATCACTTAATACCCAATCACGTTTTTTCATATTTTCCTGTTGAGTTCATTTCATTAAATGTTCACGTCCGTGGTGTAACCTGTCCCTTAGGAGTTTCTATTTTTATTACATTTAAAAGTGCTTCATGTTTCTTGGTTTATCTGAAAATTCAAGGAAAATTTTCTGTGTTTGAGATTCACTATAATATGAAAGGCTAGGAATTCAATGTTATGTAAATTAAGATGTGTCCTTGTAACATCTGATTGGCAACCTAAATACTGTTCCAGAGAGATGTTACATTTATTGAGGCTTGATTTAAAATTAGATTCCAGTATCTTGGTTCTAGGTGCATTCATTTTGCCTAATAAAAGGTTGTAAACATAGTATATCACAAATAAAAATGGTTGTATTTTCAGCAGTAGTAAATCAGTTGTGTTAAATTTGAGCATATGTTAGCAGGAAATTGCTAAAGCATATAAATATTGATACAAGAAAGATCTTTGAAAAAGGCTACTAAATACATTGGTTTTTAAAGATGAAGAAGGTAAATAACATCATGAGAAATCGTGCTGTGAGATTACAGTGGCATTAGTTTAGACTTTTGGTCCTCTGGTGTGGGTAGTAGTCTAGGGAAATGCTAAAAGAATTTGCACTGAACATAGTATGGATTTCTCTGCAAAAAGTAAGTTAACTTGTGAGTCCAGGTGGTTAGGATATGTAAATATTTTTCTGTGATAAAAGCGTGTCCCTAGATTTGGTCATTTTCTTCAGCAAAAGTGTTGAGCCGAAGTTCACTGATTCTGTGTTGAAATCCAACTCTTGATTTCTCTGTCCCGGTAAACTGACTTCTCTGGATTTTCCCTAACCGATTGTTTGATTTCTCCCCCCCCCCCCCCACCTTCTCTCCTTTTTAAAAAATTTAAATCCTTGGAGTGTCTGAACCTGGTTGTGATCATCTTAAAATTTATGCTTCTACTTTTAAGATATTAGCCTATGAAGTAGAGAGCTATGCTTTGGGTTTCTGTTGTGCCATTTTAAGTTCAGGATAAAGGATCATGACTATATAACTTAGCAATTACTGGTCGGTAATTTTGAGGCATTTCAATAATGAGAATAGAAATGTGCAAGAAAATATAACATTACGTTTTTTAATGCTAATTTTCCACTGCAAATATAATGCTTGTCCATATTTCAACCTCAGATTTCATTTTCTGTATTGCACTAATGAGAATGGCAAACTACTCGTTCTTGGTTTCTGGCATTGTGTTCTTCCTTGCCATTGGTCACATGAAAACCTAAAGGAAGTGCCAGTTTGAGTGATGATGGCCTCATGGGACCATATGCCATCATTAGCTTCCAAACGGATAGGTGTTTATTAAACTGAAGAGCTTGCCTCAAGAAATGAGCTGCTGAACCTTCAGAATTCTATTTTTACAGTCATAGGCCTGTTTGAAGACTATCATTGTCTGAGATATATATAATGACAAGATTTCGTATTTAAAATGTGACGCAACACTCCTTGTAAGTCGTTCTAGGGCTGGAACCCAGGCCGAATGTTGCCTGATATTCCATGAATATTTTATTGTGGGATCCCTTCTGGAACTGGGGAGATGTGTGAGGATAGACCGGTCTGCTTTGTACTCTTTAGAACAGCGGTTCTCAACCTCGAGACCCCTTTGCTGGTCAAATGACCCTTTCACGGGTCGCCCGATTCATAACAGTAACAAAATGACCGTTAGGAAGTAGCAGCGAGAATAATTTTATGGTTGGGGGTCACCACACCGTGAGGAACTGTATTAAAGGGTCACGGCATTAGGAAGGTTGAGAACCACTGCTCTAGAAGATGATAGAAGAGTCTGATAGCTGGGGAAACCTTACGATTGTGCTAATCAGGTCCACTTGTTATAATGTTCTTATTGCTTGAATTGGCATATGCTAATGCCAGGAGATAGGCTCTTGAAATTCTGTTGTGCTCTATCCCTCATCAAGAAGTCTTTTATTTTTATTTTTTTCGTTTTACTTTTTTTTTTAGTCGTTTTATTAGGGGCTCATACAACTCCTATCACAATCCATACATACATCAATTGTGTAAAGCACATTTGTACATTCATTGCCCTCATCATTCTCAAAACACTTCCTCTCCACTTAAGCCCCTGGCATCACGTCCTCATTTTTCCCCTCCCTCCCTAGTCCCCCAACCCCCTCATGAGCCCTTGATAATTTTTAAATTATTTTTTTGTCATATCTTGCCCTGTCCGACGTCTCCCTTCACCCACTTTTCTGTTGTCCGTCTTCCAGGGAGGAGGTCACATGTAGATCCTTGTAATCGGTTCCCCCTTTCCAACCCACCATCCCAGTATGGCCACTCACGCCACTGGTCCTGAAGGGATCATCCGCCCTGGATTCCCTGTTTCCAGTGCCTATCTGTACCAGTGTACATCCTCTGCTCTAGCCAGACTTGCAAGGTCGAATTCGGATCACGATAGTCGGGTTGGGGTGGGGTGGGGGGGTGGGAAGCATTTAGGAACTAGAGGAAAGTTGTATTTTTCATCATTGCTACATCGCACCCTGAAAAACAGTCTTTTAAAATAATCTGACAAACTAATTTGAGATTACTGCTATAGAGGGTACATAGCTTTTTATTGGTTTCTGCTTTTTGGTACTTACTTTCCAGGAAAAGGTGACTGCGTGTGACCAACATAGGTTGATTGTATTTACATTCTTGTTGCACCTCTGGGTCAGCCTGCAGAAGTGTTGTTCGATGGGTCTTTCTGGTCATTGATTCTTTGGATGACTCGGTAGACGCTACCTTGGCACGCCCCCCTTCCCCCAATGAAATTGTACTTACATAAGAAAATTTACAAGCCAATTTACATGTTCACAAAACCTGAAAAAAACATTTTTAACTTCAGGGCCTAATTAGGAATCGCTGCCTTAGAAGACTGCCTAAATATTGAAATATTATTTTACAAATAAAAAGTCAATGCCTAAACCAAAAAGGTACCCTATATTAAGGGTGTTTAAGTTTTTCCTTATCTGTAATTACCATTTATGGAACTCATTGAGTTTGTAAAAGTCATAGGGGCTCATGATATACTGGTCAAATAATGGGTTGAATAGAATTTATAATTCTTTGCAGTGTCTCATCTGATAGTACCATACAGATGCTAGACTTGACAATAGTTCAGTATTTTCCATTAACAAAGAAATGTGTTAATAGTGTACGATAACTACAGTGACCTGCTCTAGCTTATTATTTGCACAGAAAAAAACTCACAAAACTATTGGCAAAAATGATGGAATATCCCTGCCAAACCATACCTGTAACCGAGGAGACTATATAGTTCATATAGTATGACTAGGGTAACTGCCTAGGTTGAAATGCACTGTGCAAGATAGGTCTTATAAAAGCTGCTCGGCGCTGAAATAGCTGGTATACACGTAGAGAAATGCCTGGACCGTGTGTATTCTGCACAGGGAGATGGGCACAGGTCGTACGGAGATCTTGGAATGCAGAGGGAAAGGGAATGGAGTGCGTGAAGTGTAACCAGGAGGATAAAGGAGACCTTGGTTGAAAGAAATCAGTGCTTGTTTTATCATTCTTTCACCTCTACCTGCCTTTGATACTTTGGTGTGAACCTTGGTACTGTTGTGGAACAATTAATCAATAACCCTTAGCAGAAGAGTGTGGTGAACTCCTATTTACATTCCCAATCTAATGGGGACATGGCTAACCTTTGTATTTCTATATTACGTCTTTTTCTTAGTAATTCATAATAGTGTATGGTGTCCATTGATTGGTATTTTAAATAATTTCTCCCATCCCAGGGCAGTTTTAGTCTAAATTATTGGCCATGGACAAAACTAAGGGATCAAAACAGGAACTTTGAACCCTTATTCCCTCACCCCTTTGAAAAAGAAACTGAGAAGTACAATGCGTCTTTGAAAAAGGAATTGATAAAGTACAATGCATAAAGACATATAACAAAAAAGTATGAGTGACTTTAGGAAGTTGAAAGCCCTTAATTTTTGGACTGTTTGCTTTGAAAAGTGTTGCTTAATTTTCACTTGTGAGAGGCTCATGTTTTTCCTACTTCAGCCAAGAGTCTGGTTTTATAAGCATTTTCTATTAAATTGAAGTTTTAGTTGGGAGCTAAATGGTTGTTTTTGTTTGTTTTGTTTTTTTGGGGGGGCAGCTGAAGTTTTCATTTTGAGTTTGAGGATGAGAACTAAAAGTTGCAAGTTAAAGTTTTCATTTTTAATTGAATTTGGTGGGGTAAATACAATGTTTGCAATTTGGAAACGGCATTTTCAGATTGATTTTTAAGTGGATTGCAAAATTGAGTAATGAGATCAGCAATATGACTCTTTAATACTTGGTTGCACATAAACTCGGCTCTTCCTACGAGGAAGCCAAATGCACACATTTGATAGAGAGTCCCTTCTTTTTGGAGGGTAGTGCGAGCTGTAAGTGGGCATCATTGTGGGTCTCCGTGAATAGACAGCCCATGAGCTTGATCGGTTTAACTGGTGGAACTGGAAAGGCTGCAGTGTCTTAGTGGTCCAAAACAACAAAGTGCTCAGTATCAACCAGAAGGCAGACTCGGACTTGGTGTTTTCATCTTGCAAATGGATACAGCTGGTTCTCAGGAACAAAAACTACCAGAGGATGTTTGCGTAGAACAGACTTAATATGTAAATCTTACCAGTAATAAGCACATTAGAAAACTAAGCCAGGCTAATAGCACTGCATGCATGCTTTAGATTTTTTTTTTTTTGCTTTAGAATGTTTTCAATTGATTTTTGTACTTTTCATTATCAGCAATATTTCGGTGATGATCCTAAAATGTTAAAGAATATATTTTTAAGGTGAACTACTATAAAATTTTAGTTCTTTGGTTGTGGGCGCTCATAGCAGATTTGAAGCTTTTATGTGTTTGTTTGTTTTTTATAAAGTCCCCTTTTAGAATAGCTGTATATATTTTTATGAATGTTTATGTTGGTTTTTTAACTGATCTCTTAAAGGTTTAGAAAATTTGCCAGGACAATCTGTGACCATTAAATTCTAACTTCTAAAATCACCTATTAATACGGAAAAT